CTTTCTTTCTTTCTTTCTTTCTTTCTTTCTTTCTTTCTTTCTTTCTTCTTTCTTTCTTTCTTCTTTCTTTCCTTTCCCTCTGCCTTTCTCATTTCCTTTCTTCTACTTTCTTCCAATCCTTTTTTCTTCTCTTTCATTCTGCCCTTCCTCTTTTCCTACCTTTTCCTATCCCTCTCTTTTCCTCCTCTCTTTCCCTCTCTTTCCATTTGTGAACAATCTTCCTCCCCCCCCCTTGTTCTCTCCCTCCTTCCCCCCTATCTCCGCCCTTCCCTCCTGCCAGCCCTCCTGCACCTTCTTCTTTCCTTTCGACTCAGCAGCTTGTAAGCGGGGCCCAGGAAGGTGCTTTCCCTGTGGGGGTTTGCCCAGCTCCCATCTGAAGTCAAGGCCGGTTGCAAGCTGTCAGAGAACAACTAGGGGGTGAAGCAGGGGGGGGAGAGTTGTGGGGAGGGTGGAGGGAGGAAGGGAGAGAGAGAGAGAGAGAGAGGTGGGACCAAAGCCAGACCCCCAACTAAAGTTTCTGATCTAACCTGATTCTCTTCTTACGGGCTTTCGCTCAACAAAACAGCGTCAAAAGAAAAGGCACAGGCTGGGGAAGCTCACCTCTTGGCGAGCTGCTTTAATTTTGGGTTGTGCGCCTTATGCAAATTGTAGAACATGCGTAAGTTATGTGGGTTTGTGCAAATGCCGCTCGTGTGAAGTTTAGTGGAATTGGAATTGGTGAGATCTCTCTCTCTCTTTCTTTCCTTCCTTCTTTCTCCAAAAAATAACCCAATAACCCATCCCTCCCTCACATTCCCATTTCCTTCCTTCCTTCCCTTCCTTCTCTTCCTTTTCTTCCTTCCTTCTCTTTCCTCTGCCCCTCTCACACTTTCCCATCTCCTTCCTTCCTTCCTTCCTTCCTTCCTTCCTTCCTTCCTTCCTTCCTTCCTTCCTTCCTTCCTTCCTTCCTTCCTTCCTTCCTTCCTTCCTTCTTTCTCCCCAAAATAACCCAAAGGTTACGCCATGCACTGAACACCTGAATAGGATTGGAGATCACATTCCATTTCCATATTCTGACATTCTGGTCTCAATATTTCAACATTTCTAGATTTAGGTTCCAAAACGTAGGAAAGTGTTATACGCCAATAGTGTCGACAAGGACTGTCAAGTAGTCTTCAGGCTTTCAGGCAACTTCTTGCACCATTTGGGAAGGAAGAACTTGTACCCTACAAGTACACAACCCAACTAGCCATTCAGGCTTGCACAGTCTCCTCTCTTTCTGGTCCTCTTTTTCAAGAAAGGTGAAGAAGAAGCTACTCAGATCCCTGGATTCGTTCCTTCCAGTTTCAGAGATCACCTTAGTTTGTTTTGATATGTCCAACTGTTGGAGAATTTTACACCAGGGAGGAAAGAGAAGTCAAAAGCCATCCCCGTGAAGGAAGGAACCCAGAGAGAAAAAGAGAAAGGCTGAGAGAGGAAGTTGGGTTAACTAGATTGCTTCTTCTCCCTTCCCAAGAAGATGGTGACGGGAAGGAATCGGTCCACCAAGCCTCTCACAAGGATCTCAGAATTGCCAGTGGGTGTCACTCTAAGATAAGAAGCATCCATGCAAAAAGGAGAAGAGAGGGAACACATTTGGAAGAAGAAGAAGAAGGAGAAGGA